TGCCAGCGTTAATTTATATATGTAACAATCTTATGCTCACAGGCTAATAACGTCAATCAGTAAGACAGACTTTCTGGAATCAGTGTGAACACGGTCAATAATAAACAAGTTTTATTGGCGAACTAACACGGCCTATTCCTTAAACAATAAATAACTGAATGTGGATATCCCGGACACGCTGACGTTAATGTCCTTAGGGAGGCGACACGCAATCCACCATCTAGCAATTCATTACAGAAAACGTGTCAAACTTACTGAGATTGCGTGTACCCTGAGTCAAATGTATTATGCTCCAATTTAGGTATGGAGGTTGTGGTTTTATGTAAATCTATGGAAGAATCCCCGCTCTAACCCAGATACTAAATGCTAACTTATAATTAATTCAAAGGTCATAACTCTCTTAAACAAATAATAACTTGTCACAGTGAATTTATTTCATCTCATTACTCATTTGGTACATTAAGTTACTAGACTTATATATGCAAATTTTATGCTAACATTTTTATAGAGTCCGCCTCAATATTTGGCTACAGGTGTTCTCCAGCGGACTGAATTTAGGACAAATGTTTCTGTACTCGAAGAACTAGGCATTAATTAGCGTCTCTCAGTAATCACACGATTGCGCATTCATACCTTCTTCGGTCACGTGTCACGAAGAAACGACGCATCCAAAATCAGGGATTATAAATGCAATATTTAATTAGCGTTAACGTTTTGTGCTAGTATATTGATAATATTGATCATACGAGTACTGGCTTTCAGTATTCTTGTTTGTATTTGATACGTAGTCTGCCTCCCACTTTTATTGGTAAATACAGTCAAGGTACCGTCTTCTGACCAATATTCAAGTAACTGCGTCATTGAATTGTTCTCATCGGCGCACAGCATTGAAATACTAGGGCATGTTGCCAATACTGATCTAAGATACTGTGATGTCGTTATTTACTTTGTCGACCGTATGAGGATCTTCTGTTGACTCAGTAAGTGGAAGATTATCAAAAGCAGGACCATATTCGAAATTTGCTACATCATATAAAACATTTAGGATGACGGCTTCGATTGTCTAGAGCCGCCTGATATCCGATTAAGTACCACGTGTACGTTTACATACATACGTAATATGTTTCTGCGCTAACTGTCAATTTTATGTGTACAGTACATGATCAGTACATAACATAATCAGTACATACAGTACATAATCAGGATATAACTAAGTACCTAACAGAAAAATTAAAGATGATAACTTCCTGTGTAAATACATTTCAATTTTTATTTTAATATTATACTCTTATTAATATCAGTATTTCAATATATCTACATTTTTATAAATTAGGTTTATTGCAATTAGATAGTATAATTAATTTTAAAGTCATTAAAATTATACATCTACTTATGTTATAATGTCGATTAATAAAATTTTGTTTCTATCACTCCATAGTCCTCACAAGCAATCAAAGGTAAGAATTCCTCTATATATTATATTTTTTTTAATATGCACTATACAGTGTACAGTAACTTACGTCATCATACAAGTATCTTCCCAATTACCAAAATTCTGTTTTCAAAACTCTGTTTCAAGTCTTGCTAACTTGTATTGTTAATAAAACGCTGTCAGCATTTATTGCCTGTTGCCATATAACTGTTAGCAATAAATGTTAACAGCATTTATTTAACGAAGTACACTGCACCAAATATAAATAATTATAATAAATAACTCCGCTCACGCGTAATTTATCTAGTACCGAATTAGAGTACTGTAAAATGTATATGTTAAATAGTTTTTTGTGGGTCACGTAACCTATTTAATGTTATGTAATATTCAGTTACTATGTACTCTCGATTGAACAAGTAATGTACATTTTCCTCCTAATAAGGCGGTTCATTTTCAACAATTAGTTTAAACGTTTCACAAAATGAATTTGCGCGAAATGTTTTCTTGTTTTTAAGACATCTCGCAAAAAGGTTCACGCAATATTATGTTTTCAATTTTAATAATATTGCCGTAACATTTTTTTCCAAATGAATAATTATTATATCTTTGACGATAAATATTATAAATAATAAGAAACACAACATACACGTATTACATAACTCTCCAGTACCAAAATAAGTAAGTTTTACTATTAATATGACCTACAGTCATATAAATTATAATATTTAATATTCTTTTATCAAACAACCGATCAGGGAATATATAAATCGTAGACGAAGGTCATTTATTTATTTATTTATTTAGGAAGATTAACGGTGTAATTTTACATGTTACTTGTCATATCAAATTGTCCTATGCTAATTAATAATCTTCGCCAATAGTATTACTAGATTAAATTTTTCAATCAGTCATAAACTAAATACATTCATACATACTTGTAAAACAAGAAATGAAGGTAATTTATTCGGCAGGCACTAGTCGGTTTAAAAAGATACTGCCTACAGAAATGCTACAGCCGTAGCTGGTCGCTACGCCTACTAAGGCTGTAGCACAGTGTAACCACGTACGTAGGCTTCAGTGCGATTTACATGCACAATAGAACCGTCAGACCGTAATCAGAAGCTTCGGTAACCACATTTCAAGTAGGATTTTTATTCCTAATCTAAAACAAACTAATTAGTAATTTATATTTATTAATAAATATGTATTATTTGTATTAAGTCCGTCTTAATATAAATATTAATAAATAAATAATAATATAGCAAATTTTAATTCTAACTTTCTCTGCTTTTTTAAGATAAACGTGACGTATATCTGACCTTGTGGCAATCTATCTTAGTATAAAATTGTCTTAAGATCTGTTCAGGCGATTAATTGTGAAAAGGTAATAAACAAACATACAGTCACGTTTTCGCACTTCTAATATTAGACCCGGAAATAACCTTTATTAATCCTGAAATGTTAAAGATCATCTAAAGATTATAAGCACTCTTAGTTTTCACGCTAAATGTCACAATAGCGCGTAGGATTGTCATTGTCAATAGATAAACCTAAATACTACTATCTTTTGTTTATTAAACAATAATATCCCTACTATAGGACTTTCATATTGTACAGTGATGGAGGATTTTCTTTTATAAAGTAAGTGATATCAGAGAATTTAAATGAATATTTAAATTATTTTCGCTGCGAACAACTCATAAAATATAAACAAATATTGAAATTTATATGTATATGTTATACGATGAAAAGAAGACTATAACTAAACAAACTGCAAAATATATACGGCGCTGGTGGTCTAGTGATTTTGCATACCGCCTTACTTCCGATAGTCACGGGTTCGATTCCTCGCACGACACAATCATTTGTATTCATGAGTATGATTGTTTGTATGAATCTGGGCGTTTTTCTATGTATATTATTTATGTATTTACGAAAAACAAAACTATGTATTTGTATCAGTTATCTAGTATCCATAAGACAAGCTTTAGTTAGCATAACTTGGGACTAGATAGTGCTGTGTGAATTGTTCTGAGATTATTATTATATATTTTTAACATAATACAATAAACGCTTAACTTTAAGGAAAATTATTTGAAAATTGCACATAAAACCTATATAATTACATTATATATCTTTCAGTAGAATTCATATCGAAAATTATCAGAACTTCTAAGACCATGTGGTGTGTGTATAAACATTAATGTATGTAGATATCAATTGTATAATTTTTCAGGAATTCTGAGTAATTTCTGCGTACAATTCTGTATTTGTATTAATTATTTGAACTGGCACATAATTTGTAACAGCTGTTATAGTTACATTATAAGAACACTTACTAAGGATGAGTGTGTAAACAAACAAAATTAAAATATGGATGATATAATGCGCATAAGTTGTATTCTTTTATTTCAGAATAAGTATTATTTAATTATATGTATCATTTATTTGATAAGTACAGAGCATGATATCTTAGTTGTCCTGAATCGCAACATATGAGCGGATAATGAGCCTTGTATGATAACGTGATATTCGTGGTACTGTGCATTTATATAGACGATGGCTACCACTCACCATCAAGTGGACCATCAGCTTGTTCACCATTTAAATTACTTAAAAAACTTAATTTCATGTAGCATCAGATATTAAATTAAAAGTGACAAAAAGTAATATTATCAATCAAATAGAAACCACGACAAGTGGAATTTACCGAATTCGATACGATGGCGTGGATAAATAAATCCGTAACTCGTAAAATGTAACCATAACTTTAGTAATCGGCACCTCGTAATAAATGCCATGGATGAACCAATAACAATAAAAGTAAGTAATTCGAGAAATCCAATGTTGTTTGAAGAAGTGTTCATAGTATCCTTGATCTGATTTTTTGGCCAAAAACATTGTAATTACCTTGGACTTTTCTGTGATCTCAAGACCTGTTAAACTCTTAATCATGTTTTCCATTTCTTATTAAAACATTCAGTCACCCAATTCTACTATCATCTCAAAGTCATATTCCTCGGGTAATTTACTAAGCCAATAACTTCTTGTCGCATAATTTATTGTTATTTCCTTTAATTGTACGTTCACAATTTTATTTGTAATTCAGTGAAGCCATATTTCATATGAGAATATGAAAAAGACATTTATACAATGGCTATGTACCGTTATAAAATATAATAACATTTGTAATACACACTTAACCTATTTTCCTATTTTTGTGCTAAAGCTTTTCCTGCAAGGTAACAAAATATATAAGCATACATAGTTTTGTTTGAAGTTTGACTTTATATCCTATCTATATTCTCCTATCCATAATTCATATTATAATAAAGCGAATTGGGGCAAACCTCTTCGTCCAAATATGGTCAGGTGATAAATACAAACGATTTATAATTCAGTCGTAAACGTTTAAGAATCTGGTCAGCTGTCGCTGGATGCAGATGGAGCGAGATCAACGATCCCATTGTGTCGGTAAAGCAATGACAGCGAGAATTGGGCGCTGAATTCCTTCGATATTTTTGCATAAAACTCGAGGAAGGCGGGCGGCCCGAGCAATACATCGTCGTATATATAGGATGGTACGGCTGCGCGTCGCCCAGTCGCTCGTGAAAGCTTCATGCTATTGCACGTTTACACTGTGAGAGATAAATTCGACATTATCCATATCTTGATCTGAACCATTATAAAGGACAGTGATAAAGGACACGTGTTGTGACTATTCCCTTTCAAGTGTCAGTTGTTTACCAGCTGTTTGCAGCTCCTGTCTCCGGTGGGTTTTCAAACGCGCAGGTGAGTTCCCCCATTGTGTTCTAGTTGATATTTACATGAATGAAAGTCGGCAACATGGGTTTCGGATTCTGTTAGGCCTTTGTGATGTTTTCTTCTGATAAATGCTTTCTATCACACAATATTATTATATAATTGTGTGAATTAATAATTTCAATCCAATTTAATGTAATAATTCAATGAAAATAAAAAAGATTAGTAATCAGAGAAAGTGTCGATCTATTCATGAAAGCAAATGGAAAATATTTCTATACTAATAATAATACTAAGAATCTAAGACAATAAGAAGAAATATGGAAAATCAATACGAGAGCTTTGTATTAAATATCATTAGTTGAGAGTCGAGATACAACGACATCAAAATATTTTTGTATCTATTTAATAATGCTAATTATGAAAATTCCAAATATTGATTTGATAGTATTATAGTGACAAGATGTAACAGTGTTTACAAACATGTAGGCAGCATTGGGGTTGAGTCCCTTGCATTTGTTAATACAGTACTTACTGCGTATCATAGAGCCACCCTGCGCGCGTTGATGCGTTTCAATCTGAAAGCATTAAATATTCAGTGCAATCTGCGACATGAGATGCAGTGCAAGTCTTAGTCTTCAGAACTAAGATTTTTTAATACATAATCTTTTTTCATACACATTACTATAAGTGAATATTAAAATTTATTTTAACGGGCGGCTTTGGCAGCATCAACCCTCAACCTTTTATTTAAATAGTTGATTTTTAAAAGGTCTATGTATTCTATTCAATAAATTGACATATCTGTTGAGTAACACGGACATAGTTATGGATGAATATTGGTAAGTTTTATATAAATACATTAAGTATGTATAGTTAAGATAATTTATTGAATCTTTGCATATGTTAATATAGGTATTTATGAACAATGTATTTACATATTTATAATATAAATCTGTACCAATATTATGACAGCGCATCATTAATGATTAAAAAGAGATATATAAATTTAAAATAAACAACCATAAATCATAGCCAAAAAGGAAAATTTAAATAAAGCTTTAAGCCAACCACCTGGTTAGCCAGTTAAAAATAGTCAAAAATAGTAGCCTCTCCTTATAAGGGAAGAACCGTGCTCTGAAGTAAAAAGATTAATAATGGATTAATACTGTGGTGATAATAATTCCGAGCATCATTTTCATGTTCCAATATACTTATTACATTTTCTTAATTCAATAGTAAGTAGTGATAAGTAATGATGATTGCAGAGACAAAGGTTCTTAACTTCTTAATTGGTTAAGTTTTTACTATTTCATTCGTTTTTCAGACATACTACTATTTTGATTAAATCTAACAATGCTTCTAACTACCATATCTGTAATAACAGTATTGATAGTATATTACTATAATATAATACTTACATACACACACACACATTACACATATATAATATAGTACGTATTAATATATTAACAGAAATAAATTTAACAATATATAGAAACGTAATATTCTCTTATCTGAGATATAAATGTTATTAATATTCATTCATTTCATTTAATGAAAATATGAAATTACTTTCACTTACATTATCTGGTATTTAATAAAGAATATTCTAATAAAAAATATAATAGACAGTGCAGTACACATTCAACATATCTGTTAGATCTGACAGAATACCATATAATATTTACATTATTTCTTGACATTTGAGCGAAACCATGGTCTAAAATTTTTTGATGATTTGATGATGTTCAACTAAATAGCAATTTTGATACTTTTTATAACAACGTTCAAAATGCATATATAACAGACTTGCCTGTCTAAATATTTGCTCTACGCATAATCGTATTATAAAATTAGCTTCTTAAACTTGGTAAAGGGAAAAATTCCAGACCAAGACTAACTTAAGAACTAAATTACACTATAGTGCTTAGGTTAGACTCGACCTAAAAATTAGCTTGAGACTTGACCTAATTTAAGAAGCTAATAATGTGATTCTTGGTAGAAAATAAAACTGGAAATATAACTTAATTCCTAAGTAATTATGTGTGTGATCATGTACATATATGTACATATAGGCGCCGTCTGTCACTTTCCATCCGGTGGGCCGTCCATTTGTTTTTCATTCCAATTACTTAATAACATACAACTGTCTTACAATAACTTAATATGTATTAAGATATTTTCACAAACTCCATAAGAACATTTGAAAATATATAGTGTATTTTAATTTAAAGAGATGCAAACTATGTCACTTAATATACTGGAATGATTGCCTAAAGCGTATTCATTAAAACGTACGTATAATAAATCAAGTTTATCTATTGAACTCTATTGTCTCCTATTTGAGCCAATTACTATTTTTGATTTAACTTTCATAAGTAATTCCCCAGTTAACCACATGATGAACCGTTGCATATGCCATATTTAATTAACTAAAATTTAATTTAACGTTACAACACGGGGGTCATATGGAGTCCGTATGGTTTCTCATGTATTCCCATTCCTATGAAGCTAATGGTCTACTCATTTGTGATATTGGCCAAAATTGCATTTATTTCATCCATTAGCTTTCCTATTTTACACTTTATTATTCTTAAACTTATAAAATAATTTTAATTATTAGAGCCTAATTAATAACTTGTAGGCAATGGTATTAGTAACTGGTAGGCAATAAATAACTTTAAATAAATATTTTATTAAGTCAATATCAGAATTAAGAAACATATACTACAATTCTTAAAAAAAATAAAGTCATTTCAATTATTAAACCAAATCCTAAAGCTAGCAAGATATAATTTCAATTAAACGTCGTTTAAGTTAATTTAATATTTAAATGTATATTACCTACACACATACTGAAAAATCATAAATAACTTCTTCTAATATCTTCTTCATACAATAATATCGTAATAAAGAAATAATGTTATATTTAGAAGTTGATATTTTACCTCGAGACTCGCCTGTCATCTACTTTTGCACGTCAAGTATAAGCCTTAATGAGCATCAAGTTGTTTTAGGACCCTGTCCGGAGCAGATAACCTACTTGTTCCTTCTCTATCACGATACGACTCCACGGTATTTAGGTTACACCTGCAGGCAAAAATAAATAGGTTAGCTTTTTGTTTCATGGACCTGTATTACAGAGGTTTATTTTCGTTTTAATATAAGAATTAATAATAAAGATTTAACGATTTTAATAAGTAAAAGAAAGTAGAACGTTATCTAGGAGATTGTAACTTTTCGTGTCAATTGATATATCTACCTAAATCTCCTATAATATTAAATATAGATGCTAATAAACTACAATCATCCCAGAAACGGCTGTAGTTTTGTCTCTCCTCATATTACCTTCAAATATATCGCATATTTCATCAAACTGAATAGCCAATTCGAGAGTCGTGAGGATTTTATTTAATATATTATTATTTACAAGTAAACGACCTTTCGTGTCTATCGAAGTTTAATTCAGAAAATTAAACTTACTGAGCCACGATCAAATATTTCAAAGATTCGCAATTATACTTAGAAACAGGATTTAAATAAAGATCGTCTGATTAAAGTGTCGATTTACGACAACGTTATCGAGATAATTGACATTTGAGAGTGCAATTACAACAATTATAAGGCGTCCGCCGGCGGCTAAGTAACAGATCTGTGTTCTAAACTTTCCGTCGATCTGAAAACGACATTTTCTGCTCGGCAACAGTTAAGCGCGTCGGTTTATTAACAGTCACGTAAAACGATCTTGCTCATTCCACGGTAATCTTCCTGAAACATATTCGTTTATCAATGTAACCTTCAGTGGACCGCCGACGGATTATCTGCCAGCTTTACAAATTATGATTAATTAACAAATTACACAATTTTTAAACGTTAACGAACTCTGTATTGTTTTTTATATTTTTTACTGTATAACAAAAAAATATAAACAAACAATAAAAAAGTAAATAGTGCATTGTTTTGTATAAATATCGGGTATTATAAAAAATAATACATAAAGTACATACCTACTAATTAAAACCAAGTTAGTTAAATATAATCATCAAAACCAACAAAGAAAAAAACTCTTTTTGTGGAAGTATTCTATTGACGTATTACTTTGACGGCTATAGTAGCCCTCATGCGTTGATTAGCAACAAAGATTATCTACTCACTGGCTACAAACTAAGCTGCATGACAACAAAAGCAGGGGAGAGAAAGGGAGGATCTCTCTACATGTTATAATATGTATACTATCACTAGATCACAGAGTAATTTGCCCTTTGTTTATACGAATGGTTATTACTATTTTTTTACATTATTAGTTGTTTAGTTTAGAGCTAATATTCTAGTATTAATAGTGTTAATAGTCTGGGTGATTTCTGTGTATATTATGTATTAGGTTCCAAAAAAAATATATCTAAGTATTTATATCAGTTGTACCAACCAAGTACGCATAACACAAACTCTACTTACCATGCGACTATGTAGCGCTGTGTTAATTGTCCAAGATTATTTATTATTATAATTTTGTTCCCGCAAACTACCACTACAAAATTTCTTTTCTTATTTATTTCGATATCTCGAAGTAATGTCGTATCGTTTTATTATAACACGAAACAAAAATCGCAAGCTCAGCGTCTAGCGACGCGTCGCACGCAGTCGCATGGCGCGGTCCATTCACCGATCAAGTCCATTGCTCTTCGCTGTGCCAACTATGCGAACAGTCTCGTATTATATTCAAAACACGCGAATGTGATTTTATATATGACAGGAATGTAAATAATGCGTTCAAATCAACTATTTCTAGTATTCTTTAGTAAAGGAAACATCACCGATGTCTTCATTAAAATGCAAAAGAGATTTATATAAATACAAGACAGTTAATTACTAAAATATTTAATGAGTTTTTATTAAATATTTTAATCATAAATCTATTTTGTTACTTTATTGTATAACAAAATACATTTACTATTAAAATATTTAATAAGAAGTCATTAAATCTTTTATTACAATATGTAAATGCTAAATCGTAAAAAACTTGAATGGAAATATATTTAATTTTGAAGATAATATATAATACACAGTACACAGACAGACAAAATACCGTAGAATTGAGAACATTCTTCTTAGCCTGTCGACTGACAAATAATATTGGGAACAGTTACAAACAACTACTAAAAGTCACAAATATTGTGCTGATTGACTGCAATAAGAGAAGATTCTGAATTATTCACTTAATTGTTTGTAACTTTTGCCAATTAGGAAATAGGTTTTTGTCATTCCTTTTATGATAGATACCTACGAATTATTTAACTTTGATGCACACAATAGTAAAAAGTTAATTTGGTGGACTTAACGCCATGCGGCATTTTCTATTAGTATAAATTTGTTGTTCCTTTTTTCCTTCAGTATTACATAACTTATATGTAATCTGTTCAAGACAATTTGAACCTAAAATAAATATAAATATTTTGTAGTATATATTTTCGGTTTGTAATGGCAACACTTAACAGTTTAAAAAGGATTCATTCAAACTGTCACTCCCCCCTTTCTGTTTCTAACTATCAAGCCATACACACTGTACTCCTGTAAAATCAAATATAAAAATACAGTCCAAACATATTAAAAGCATATGTTGTTTTATTAATCCAACAAATTGCTTGTGGTCCATCGAAGCTGTGAAATTCGACTGTTGTTTGGGTACAAATCATCCCGAACGACATACTCCGTCTACGGCCATACCACGTCGACGGCCGGCCCCAGAAGATTTTCGTGCGAAATCTATAATTTCGTTGCGAAATTTCAACATCGTCGTGATTACTCGTGATACACATCGCACAAGAACAAGAAAAACTGGCAGCTAAGTTGAATCTCAATATAATATCAGCATTTTAATATTTTTCCAAGACGAGGGTATCTCCATCCACGGAGTTAAAATTCAAAGCAAGAAGAGACAAAGAGTCTTAAAGTTACGTCATCCTTTTCCTATTTTCGCTCTGTGGCACTCAGTGACTTTAGCTTTTATAATCTGTCACATTACAAAAAACAAAACTGCTGTATCATTGTGACAAATAAAGTGCATAATTATTGTTCTGAATTTCAAGTGTTTGTGAAAAATAAACCGTAAAAAAAAATGGAGAATTCTGACACTCTATTGCGTGATTTGAAAAACCGGCGTAAACTCATCAAAGCATCAATCACTCGCATTGAAAACTTCGTGGCAGACCCTATCAATTTGGGGTCGTCTCCTGAAATGTTTGCGGCGAGACGAGATCGACTAACAAACATATTTAAAGAATACGAAGAGGTACAATTAAATATATTATCTTATGACGATAAAGATGTGGAAGATGTGGGCATCATAGAAGATAGGTACTTTAATGTAATGTCAAAAATAACCTCAATTTTAAAGAAGTTAACTCAGACAGATTCTATGTGCACAAATGTATCCAATTCTAAGCTGCCCAATATCGAAATTCCGTCATATGATGGCAGGGACTTCACCAAATTTAAGCCTTTTATTGATTTGTTTTTGGCAGTAATACATAACAATAGTTCATTGTCCGATGTACAAAAATTATTTTATTTAAGAAAATCGTTAACTCATGACGCCTTATCTGTCATTGAGAACTTACCTCTTGTGAATCAATCCTACAAAGAGGCCCTAGAATTGTTAAATAAACGGTTTGATAATGAGGCAAGATTAATCTCTAATCATATTAATATAATTTTAGAGTTACCTTGTATGCAGAAAGGTACTGCGGCCGCTATACGGTCATTTATATCAGGGGTACAGCAACAAATGTATGCATTAAAAAATTTAGGGCAGCCAGTCCAACATTGGGACATGCTGTTGATATCCATACTTACTAAAAAATTAGACCAGTATACAAATAGGGCTTTCCAATTAGATAGGGATCCCAATACACTGCCAACAATGGTAGATTTTATTTCATTTTTAGAACGGCGTGCTATGGCGCTGGAAGACAGTGGGGATAAAAGTAGCACTATTACTTCAAATAAATCTCCCACTGCACATAATAAAGTCAGCAATATTGCTACTACTAGTAATAAGTCTAATAAGCTGTGCTTGTTTTGTCAAGGTACCGGCCATGCTATACATGGCTGTCCTCGCTTCAAGCTGGCCGCCTTAGAGGACCGCTTGCGGTTTGTAACAATTAATAAATTATGTAATACCTGCCTGAAATATCACATAGGTAAGTGTAAATTTAATTTTGTTTGTAAATACTGTAAACAGAGCCACAATACGCTTCTGCACAAAAATAATAGTTCTCATGAGAATCATGAGGAACCTGTAACTTTGCATTCTATAAATGTAAAAAATAATCTTATTCTACCTACTGTAAAGGTTAAAATCATTGACCAATATGGTCAAGATATCTATGTAAAAGCCTTGCTTGACAGTTGTAGTCAGGTGTCATTCATCACCACTAAATTGATGGATAAATTGAATTTAACTTCTAAAAGTTGCCAATCCAACATACTTGGAATTGGTAAGAGAAATAATCAAATAAATAAATTTGTAAATATTACAATATTTTCTATAGTAACTCATGTTCAGTTTAATGTAAAATGCCATGTTGTCAATGACATTACAGCTCCCCTGCCGCAACAATATATAAATATTTCAAGTTTTAATTTTCCAAATCATATTAAATTCTCTGATGATGAGTTTTATGTACCATCTGAGATTCCTATGCTTCTGGGTGCTGACATATTTTTTAATTGTTTATTAGATGGTCATATTAAAATACCTAATGGTCCTGTTTTACAAAACACATTATTTGGCTATGTTGTGGGAGGTGATATGTATAGTCAAGACACAAAGTGTAATAATCAGGAATCAAACCTGAATCACCTACAATATAATAACTTTGTTTCTAATTTGGTAATATATGATAATGAAAAGTTAGAAAGTGTAATGGAAAACTTTTGGCTGTCTGAAAGAGTTCCTGAAGTTGTAACTGAGGTTTCAAAATTAACTGAATTTCAGAGAGCTGAACAATGTTTCATAAATTCGGTAAATATTCAAAATAATAAATTTCATATTGATATGCCTCTTATTACTGATATACATGACTTGCAGCTTGGGGATTCTCTTTCAGTGGCCCTTCCAAGATTTTTATCATTAGAGAAAAAGTTTAATAAGAATCCTATGTATTTTAAACAATATAAATTATTTATCGAGGAATATATTGCCTTGGGACATGCCAAAATTGTTGATATCAGTACCTATGATTTTGATAACGAACCGGTTTATTTTTTGGCCCATCATGCCGTATTTAAAGAGGACAGTGTAACTACTAAGCTGCGTGTTGTGTTTGATGGAAGTATGCCATCTTTGAACAAAATCTCTTTAAATGATGTCATGCTGAATGGCCCAGTGGTCCAAAATGAACTCTTTGACATATTGTTGTTGTTTAGAACATATTGTTACACACTTACCTGTGACATTACAAAAATGTTTAGAGCCATAAATATAAATAAACATCAACTTGGTCTTCAAAATATTCTGTGGCGAGATGACCCCAAAAAACCTATCTCTATCCTGCAACTTCAGACAGTCACATATGGACTGAAGGCTTCCACCTTTATGGCCACGCGATGCCTTATAGAGTTAGCTAGACAAAATAAAAATGAATTTCCACAAGCTGCACAAGCCCTGCTTTCTAATACTTATGTCGATGACATTATATGTGGTGCGGATAGTTTAGAGCAGCTTGAACAAATTAAAATTCAATTAATTCAATTATTAAAAATAGGGGGATTCGAGCTGCACAAATGGTGTTCTAATTGTCCTCAGGTTTTACATGATGTTCCTTCTAATAAAAAATATTTTGAAAAAATTGATTTACATAAAAATAATATTGTTAAAACTCTGGGTATAAAATATGATGTCATTCCAGATCAATTTATATTTTCAAGTCCTATCATTGAAAACAATTATTATATGAAAACTAAGAGAAAAATTCTTAGTTCTATTGGGAAAATTTTTGACCCATTAGGCTTGATTAGTCCTGTAGTGGTACTAGCCAAGTTATTTATGCAAGAGCTATGGTCTATGCAGATTGACTGGGACTCTACATTGCCCCAGAAACAAATTGATCATTGGAATAAATTTTTATTTAATCTCAACTCAATGGGAACAATTAAAATACCACGAGTCATATACACCAATACTCTATTCCATGTAGAGTTAGTTGGATATGCGGATGCCTCTCTTAAGGCATTTGGCTGCTGTCTCTATCTGAGAAATTTTAATTCTGATTCTAGTGTTTCTAGTAACTTACTTTGTTCTAAAACAAGGGTTGCCCCTCTAAATAAATCCATAACCATTCCAAAGTTAGAACTTAATAGTGCTTTGTTACTAGCAAAATTAGTAAACAGAGTAAGCACCATATTGCAAACAAGATTGAAGTTAAAGGTGTTTCTATATAGCGATTCACAGATAGTATTAGCCTGGATTAAAATGGCCAATATTAAAGCGAATCCATATGTTTCCAATAGGGTTAATGAAATAAATTCTTTAACTAAAGATTTTCAATGGTCATATGTAAAAACTTCTGATAATCCTGCAGACTTGCTCACAAGGGGAATTGATCCACATAAATTGCAATCAAATTATTTGTGGTGGCATGGTCCTAAAGATTTAATAAATAATAAATTTTGCCATACACCTGCCGACTGTAGCTATCCCATAGTAAATCATGAGCCTGAATTATCAGTGAATGTCTACTGTATAGATCCATATGTATTCGATTTATTTCAAAAAATTTCTGATATTAATAAATTACAAAGAGTCATCTCTTATATTTTACGTTTTAAAAATAATTGTCTCAGTCAAGAAAAATTTAGTGGTTCGCTGATGCCTAAAGAGCTCTATAACGGACTCTCAGTAGTAATTCGGTGTATTCAAAGAAAATACTTTCATAAGGACATAGAGTCAATGATAAAGGGAAAACCTATTAAATCTGGTTTAGCTAATCTTTACCCATATTTAGATCAAACTGGTGTTCTCAGAGTAGGAGGGCGTCTACAAAATGCGAAAAATATTTCCTTTGATAAAATGCACCCTGCTATACTTCCAAAATCTTCTCATATTACTCATTCAATAATTCGAAGAGAACATCTTAGATTGTTACATGCTGGTCCAAAGCTTGTATTAAGCTCCTTATCTCAAAGATATTGGCTTATTAGTGGAACTCGCGAGGTCAAAAAGGTGGTGAATAAATGCATAAAGTGTGCTCGTTTGAAAGCAGAAGCTTCTAAACAATTAATGGGGTCTCTACCACAAGATAGGCTGACAGCTAACAGACCATTTCAAATTGTGGGTGTGGACTTCTGCGGTCCATTCAGCATCAAAATTCCACGAAGTAGAAAGCCGGTTCTTAGTAAGGCATACATAGCGCTATTTGTTTGCTTTGCTTGTAAAGCCATCCATGTTGAGTTGGTAAGTGACCTCACCACAGAAGCATTTTTGGCATGTCTCAAACGTTTTATTGCTCGACGAGGCTTGCCTACTCATATATATTGCGACAACGCGAAAACCTTTAAAGGTGCTTCAAATCAATTAAAAGACTTATATGAATTGTTTTCTAAAAAAGCTCATAAAAATGACATAGAAAATTTTTGTTCTAAAAGTCATATAACATTTAAATTTATTCCTAGTTACTCACCTGAATTTGGAGGGCTTTGGGAAGCCGGGGTTAAGAGTGTTAAGAGCCATCTTAAAAGAATTGTGGGGAATCTTTCTTTAACTTTTGAAGGACTTTACACTGTAATTACAGAAATTGAAGCAGTACTTAATTCGAGACCTTTGCTTCCCATGAGCTCAGATATCTCTGATTGTAAATACTTGACACCTGGCCATTTTTTAATAGGCACGGCAATGACCAGCTTACCTGAAATTGATTATTCTTATAAAGATATTAGTAAATTAAAATTTTGGCAAATTCTTTCTAAATTAAAGCAAGATTTCTGGAAAGCTTGGTCGCGTGACTACCTGACCCAATTGCAGAGCAGGCCAAAGTGGTTGCATCCACATAATAATTTAAAAGTTGGAGATCTTGTCATTGTAAAAAATGATAATCTTTCTCCTTTAAATTGGCCCATGGCCAGAATTGTTAAAATATTTCCGGGACCTGATGATAGAGTCAGGGTTGCTGAAGTAAAAATGGGTAATAAAATATACACTAGGTCTTTTAGAAAATTATGTCCACTTCCTATAGATGGACAATAAAAGAAAACTCATTATTCATTTAAATCAATTATACTTTTAACTTAGAATATCTTTTTCTTTTAACAAATTTACTGCACCAACCCTGGCCCGGCCCCAACTATGTTCAAGACAATTTGAACCTAAAATAAATATAAATATTTTGTAGTATATATTTTCGGTTTGTAATGGCAACACTTAACAGTTTAAAAAGGATTCATTCAAACTGTCACTCCCCCCTTTCTGTTTCTAACTATCAAGCCATACACACTGTACTCCTGTAAAATCAAATATAAAAATACAGTCCAAACATATTAAAAGCATATGTTGTTTTATTAATCCAACATATTTAAAGTAACGATAGTTCCTGTAATGGTATTGATAAATATATGTTTTATTTTTAAATATATTTCAATCTGTTCTCTCGGAAAGTTTCAATTTGTCGACGGTTGTTTACGTATATATTTCCTTGGCATCTGTTAAAATCTACGATTTCGCTTTTCTTTCCTATCCTATAATCTAAATATCCTCTTAGCGACTAGGCGGTTTGTTTTAAATGTAATCTATACACATTTTAGGTTTTAATTTATTTTCCTATTGACGTATAGTTTCCTATAGTGGAACTTTGGTAGCAGTAGCAGTAGCAGTACCTAGCATCTTCGTATTGTAGACATTATTTTAATGCGAATTGCGATAATTGTACATCGATTGTGTTGATTTTTTTTTAGTTTACCTAACCAAATGGCAATTGCGTTATGCTAGAATTTTGAGTGAGAAACAAAAGTCAGACGAAAAACAGAAACTTATAATAATTAATTATTAATGAATTATTCGGTTTCAATTAAATCAAGTAATTTTAATATTGTATAAATATAGTGTAACCCCGTGTTGATATTACAATCTTAAACATGGGTAAATATTTACTTTATTTTATCTGAAAGCAAATTTATAAAAATGTCCCAAGAAACATTTAGGGTGGCAGTTCCCATTGCCATCCCACGCACGGTATATTAACTTTGTTGTTTAACTACCTAATATTAATTTGAGTCTACGTGCTGAGCTGTTTAATGAGAGTAATTTGTATTGTAAGCGAAAGACAACAAAATGTAATCGACTTTTGTACATACGTACTGTGCACTTGAAAATCCTCATTACCCTAATTTTATATTGGGATATAACCTCCCGTGAGTCAGCCAACCGTTGGGCAAGTTTCATAACTGGGTTAAAAGATTATTGTTAGGTGTAAATAGGTCAAGTTTACAACAAATACCGACATTAACAGATGAACATTTTCAGTTTCAACTAGGTATTTGCGTTTTAAACATCCCATTGTTTAATAATAAAATTGTAGAGTGGAAGTTAAACATTAAATAGAATAACAACTATACTAACCAAATTAAACTTTTACTTCCAATAATTACGGTGATTAGTTCATATTAATTTGTTACATGGGCGATGATTAAATAAAGCATCTTACTACAAAAGTATACAAGTACATACATTTTGGGTACTGACGCAGCTGGTTGTAAAGAACATTGAGTCAGTTATGAATGACTTGACTTAGCCAATAATTATCAAGTTAGAGATTAGAAATTGACCTGATTACTTTCCTAGCAATGGGGTAATAGTTTCCATAACAACCACAGACTGATTATACACAGATTATACTTATTAGAAACAAATAGAACACATATCTCTATTTTTAATGATATAATTCACAAATTAACCAGGTCAAAACACAAATATTTGTGTTACCTTAAACACTTCTCCTCTATACCTTTATTGCTTTTGCTGAAGGCATCACTATCATTAACCTCGGTGCAGGTCATCGACTATTATATCGTAAATATTCCTTTATATTCAAGTAAATTAGTATATAGCGTAAAATATATGCAAGACTTTTTATAAATATTTAAATTCTATATAAGAGTAGATTACACGCACATACCGAGAGTCACTAGTAAGTACACACCTCGTACGCATGCACGCCTGTGGAATATTACAAGCTTACGCCTTGTTGTTTATTACAAAATAGTATGGATCGTAAAGCAAACTATGAAGTATGAAACATACACTTTACCAGGCCGATCCAGTGCGATCCACATCAACTGCCCACTGTTTGCACCGCTGTAGTACGGGAATATTTTGTAAACAAACGAAACAGTATCGAATCCTTCAGTTTAGGAGTAAAGATACACTAGAACGTATATATATACAATCGTAATATATATTTAGAACTTCTCATTTCCTTTATAGTTATTTCTAGCGTGAACCGTCCCTATCGGATACTCTAACACATTTTTTGTAATGACTTTGTGATAACATAAACGAATAAAAATATTTTTTGTCTCTAAAAAAGCAGGAAAGTAGCGGGAAACAGTTAGTATTAGTATATATTTACTAAGTATAATTAGTATTACGTTATAATATTTTATTTTTTTACTTTCATTTTTCATTTCATCACATAAAATTGTATGCAATAATTTCAACAATCAATATAAAATGACCCCAAACTCTATATTCCAGAGTTTCTATATCTACATACTATCTCTATCATCAGATCAGTTCTAAGATATCATGACATATCGCCGAACTTATGTAAACAAAGAAGCTTAAATACATGTACTATTCTTATGTATTATATTATGCAAATTGAATTCAAAATCAATATGTTCTCCATGTTTCTTAGTCTAATTAAAATATGATTATGGATGCTCTATGGTCCCTTCATATTTTAGTCTAAACTATAGAGTAATAACGAACATAGCGTATTCTATTACTTATAAAATATATTTTAGTTTTTAAATCGCATCAAAATGTACAAGTTCATTCAGGTGACTCGGTCATAGTTCATCACAGTTCAGATATACATAGATCTAGTGTTTTGAAGGGGACATCAAATAACTTAATTGAAGTGATTTGAAATTATAAACTTGAGAACCGAAGGGTAATTAATTATCTACATATAGATATGATTTACTTATTGTCTATTGACTCTATGGTATTCCTCCAAAATTTAATATCTTATATTACAACGTATATACCTAATAGTTACACGTGGCTTAGTCAGGGTGATAATTAATGTTATGAACATTTTACACCCCTACCTTATTATGTCTGACAAATTTTATCACATAATTTACTTATAAATTCAATTTCAAAATTATTTCATCAATGAAAAACACGACTATCACTGAAATATATATGAACATTTTTTCGACGTGTACTAATATCATTTACTCATGCGAGTAATATTAAAATACAGAAATGAATAGAAGTATCTATTCAAATAAGTTTATAAAAGCCTTTTTATGATTAAAGCTTCATATTGGATCTTTTATATCAATCTTTTGGAAAAATTACCTAAAATCTTGTAATACAAATTAAACAATTTGTATAAATACAAACCAAGTAGCATAAAATAATAAGATATAAATATTAAAATATGTAAATTATAAATTACTTTATATTATTATTATACATTCCTAAATAGTAAATATAAATTTTTATTTGCTCCTGCTTTAATTTTATTGTTAAGAACTGTGTAATTTTCTCCAACTCGTGTCAAGGCATACTATCAGCTAATTATAACAATAATCAAATTTATCTTTTAATATTTAATTTATGTCGCCGCCTTCGTTCTCGATTTTAGAGCGATGACTTGTAAGGTTCTTGTCCTCATTACGACGCAAACAAGTATCTTAAGACAATTTAAATAAGCTTATTATGCGCCAAGAAAAGTATAATAGAAATATGTAAAAAAACCTAATATCATTTCTAAATTAGATGGACCCATAGTTTTTTTCATATAAGTGAAAAACGAGATGGTTTAAAGAAGACTATATATTATAAAGCTTGCTATATGTTATAAAACCAAACCCCATTATCAAATAATAAAATTAATTTTAAAAACGTTCCTATAAACACATGTTAGACATAAGTAGTATAAAAATCTCGAAATCAATATATCAAAAAAGCCCTTGGAAACCAAAAGTATTATATACCTACTACAATTTAAATTAGGACATAAATCAACAGTTATTTATGCTATGCAACTATTCACGTAGTATTATTACTTCATAGATATGATTATAAATGTCTAAAATATATTGTTTTTTAATGTAACACATAATTAACTCAATTTTTATTTATGAGAGCTAAACCTGAACCCGCTTTGATGTAGCTTAGACTGCATATTAGTACGTATATCGATTATTTATTTCTCGTTGGAACCTCAAGATACAACTATGAAGTGTGATATATTGCGTAAAACCATCGACTACACTTTCTTGCTTTTGGTTGTTTGTGGTGTCGCTTAGAAGGTAGAATAGCTAAAATTTCTTCCGTTTCGAGATTTTTCCAATCGGTCAACGATTAATAGACTAAAACTTATATATAAATAATATTTAAGAAATAACTCGATTCGACCTTTTGAATAAAATTATAATTTAACAATCTTTAGATTTTTATTGTAACTTGTTATAATACTGAATATGCTGACATTGAAGTAAGGAATATAAAACAAAAATACTCTATCTACATTCATACAAAAGTAACTAATTTATGTGAGAATACATTGCAATACTTCAGCTAGTTTTAGTGTAACATAAGAAAATGCAATACCTAGTATTATTCACATTGCTAAGAAAACATAATTTATGTTGCGAATGCCAAGAAAAATTTTTCTTCATGTGACGTGTTCACGACCACTATTTCTGATCACGGAAATATCGGCGTTGTCAAAACAATATGATACCCATCCCACTGTACACATTGTCTTTAGACACTGTACAAATTTTCTCCTAGCAATAAATAAATTAAATACGTATATATATGTAAACTAATTATGTATGTATTTCATTTAGCTAGGAGAAAATTTGCTATTCTAAAGGCTATTTGTAGGCACTGTTTATTTTCAGTACTTTTGTATACCTATCATTTGCCTTTCAAAGTGAGGAAAGGCAAAATCATATAATTTTTTAATCATCATTATTTTAGCCAGTTGGATCACTCTTTTTCTTTGATAGTTTGTTATGTACATATACACACATTATACGTAACATACATATTTATTTAGGACGTGCATATTTATTTTCTGAAAGGCGAACGCTAAATACCTGTTATCGGATTCCAGTTTTCGACCACAAACTTCTTAATGATGTGTCGACATGCCCCTAAATCCTGGCACGTTGTACCACGCTCAAGATTTATGGCCATATAATAGCGAATAATCAAAACATAAAACAAATAATATCAAAGAGAGAACGAGGTATTCGTGTTTCAGAACCCGTTCAGTAGGTTTATTATCCCGTTGCTTGTTATT